ACCTCCGTCATCATCATCATCATCATCTACCAGGTCATATGCTGCTCCATCATCACTTGCTAAACTACCTGCTGCTCCATCATCATCTTGCCACTGCTCCATTATCATCTACAAAACCAGCCACTGCTCCATCATCATCTACAAAACCAGCCACTGCTCCATTATCATCTACAAAACTAGCCACTGCTCCATTATCATCTACAAAACTAGCCACTGCTCCATTATCATCTACAAAACCAGCCACTGCTCCATCATCATCTACAAAACCAGCCACTGCTCCATTATCATCTACAAAACTAGCCACTGCTCCATTATCATCTACAAAACTAGCCACTGCTCCATTATCATCTACAAAACCAGCCACTGCTCCATCATCATCTACAAAACCAGCCACTGCTCCATTATCATCTACAAAACTAGCCACTGCTCCATTATCATCTACAAAACTAGCCACTGCTCCATTATCATCTACAAAACTAGCCACTGCTCCATCATCATCTACAAAACTAGCCACTGCTCCATCATCATCTACAAAACCAGCCACTGCTCCATTATCATCTACAAAACCAGCCACTGCTCCATTATCATCTACAAAACTAGCCACTGCTCCATCATCATCTACCAGGTCATATGCTGTTGCATCATCATTTAATGGATCACCTGCTGCTCAATCATTATTTACCAGGCCTGCTGTTCAATCATCATCTACTAAACCAGTTACTGCTCCATCATCATCTACAAAACCAGTTACTGCTCCATCATCATCTGCCAAACAAGCCACTGCTTCATCATCATCTACCAAACAAGCCACTGCTTTATCATCATCAATCGTTCCCCGTTCGACTTCTGAAAATTCGCTATTGGTTAGAAAAAGAAGCCAAAATGATATCTCAAAACACATAAGAGCCTAGATTATTTTGTCTGATATTTCTCCACAGCCAAAGGTCAAAACGCAGGCTCCAAGAAAAAGGAAGGCTGAATCATCCACTGTTCTTACCTCATCACCTAACCGCGATCTTTTGAAAGAAAAGCAGATAAGGAATTGGTATCAAAAATCGGGAAATCATCAAAGGGATCTTATCAAATAGTTGTGAAAAAGGACAATTCTAATGACGCAGATTGTATATATTGCACTGAATCGTATTCCCAAACTGGAGGTAATTGGATCAGGTGTGATGTAGGTCATGGATGGGCTCACGTCAAGTGTGCTGATGCAGTCAACGTGTAAACTTTAATGACCCATTTATTCAATGGAAGTACATAAAAGCGCACAAGCAGTCTATTATGCCTTCTTAACAGTTTAGTTAATCAAGTTATAGTTAATGGAACTTTTAAAGTCTTTTTCGGGGAAAGTTGACCCCCCCCCCCCCTTCCCTTGGGCATATTGCCATCGTGACTGGGGCATCTTGCCTGAAAGCCGCCACATTATTAAGAAACTGAAAAAGCCCCCTTTAAAAATTGAAAATGGTTATATTAAGGTATATGCTTGTTTATAAGTATGCCTTGGGAATAGTTTGACATGTGCAAAGTTTGAAGGAAATCTGTTTCAAATCATGAAAGATAACCTAAGAGTATCTTAGGAGCGGCGTTTTCCCCCATGCTTACCTTATCGTCAAGTATTAATACACGACGTCGCGATACGATACGCGTATCGTGGCATGTCTTATCGCTATACATCAATTCACCAATATATCGTGCAAGAACTAATTTCAACTTATACATGAAACATTTATATGTTATTTGTATGGACTTTTATATGTATAGCATCTATTAGCTATTTTTCAGTCAGACGCCTTTGGGTCTTGCAATTCCATTAAAACTGACTATTTTATGGTGCAGTGAGACATCTGAGGAAAATAGGAATTATTCAAATGAAAGCCGCAATTGGCTCCGAAGATATTGGGTCAGTTCTGGGAGATTATTTTTATAAGCTATATTCACGGGATTTAACAAACACAAATTATAGATTTATCTTAAGATTGATTTATTTGCTTCAGCCAATACAATCAGAAACGTTGAACTTTATGCGTTGATCTTACTTTCAATCCACGGCCAGGCAGCTTTAATGTCGACAATTTTAAAAGAATCTAAAGGTGTGCAACCAACTGAAACATCTCCTATGCTTACTAAACCTTCGAGAGCCCATCGATCTTCATCATTCTGACATACGACCATCCCTCCATTGTCACCCTGAAACATTATTCAACTCAAAAACTTAATCTTCTAGGTGTAAGATTATATCTCAATTATATTAACAAACTGAAATGGTTCTCGTGTATATTTGAAAAGCCTAATTCAGTACACCTATATGAATTTTCGAAGGTATAACAAATTAAATTGTTTTTCTTCAGGTGGCTATGTTAATAGGCCTAGTATTTGTTTATAACCGACCCAAAAAAAGGAAGAATATCAAAATAATGTAAAAATAACTTTGGGATGGATATTCTGTCAACGGCTATCCTAATTATAACGCTTTCTGTTAATCAAATGCGACGAGATTAATTTTCAATTAGCCAGTGCTAATGGAAAAAAAGGTGGGTTAGATTCTAAGAATAAAGATGATATTTTGTCTTATTTCAAAGCATAACATTGAAATACTAATGCTCCATATAGCTTAGATAATATCATTGAAAGTTATCTAACTATTCATTAAAAAATAAAAGTAAAAACAGACAAATTTGTCCCTCCTTTGGCAACACCATTCTTATCATTTCATCATAATTTTTAAAATCAATATGCGAGTTGTGTTAAATTACTTCTGTCAGCTAATAATGAGAGGGAAACTTACATCACAGACATTTCCAGGTGCGGCTGTGAACTTTGCTACTGACTGTAGTGGAGTTGCAAGAGATGATGTGAATTGAGCTGCAGCATCCACGACTTCTTTACTAAAAACTTCAACCTCAATTTCTCTAAATGCCCCGTCATTTTCTGTAATAAAATTGTACGGTTAATGGAAATTACATGATTTACATACTTGAGCCGGTGTGAAAAGTTATTCATTACTGGCTATCAAGACATTGCTATTTATTTCAAGGGAAAGCCGGGGACTAAAAGTTCAACATTTTTGACAATTAATCATTTAAATTCAGATTACGGAACTTTATTCAGTTGCATATCAATTTTTCTAGATATATACTTAAAATCGAGATCGCAGGTTAGTATATCGATAAGATCACAAAGATAGGGCGTTATTTTTTAGATATTTATTTACTTCAGTTTTGGGCGAGTGTTAGTTATCTTCTAAATTTGCAATAAGTCATTATTTTTTTGTCATTTCTTCTTTTTAGTAATGTACAATTTTTTGCTACCGTATTATTCAACTTACTAACGCCATTCTCGCTACTATCACCCCATCCAGCAATTATGCAACCAGATTTCTTTATACTACAAGCACTTTCTGTTAGGTTAGGAGCGCAACACTTTCTCACATTCCCATTAAAAACTACAGGTTGCTCAAGTTTTAACAATGCCAAGTTGTTAGCTGAAATATTAATATTGGTCAAACATCAAACATGGATAGAATTATTACAATCATAAGTAAATTTTCAATAGAATAGCTATTTTATCACCCCGTTATACATTACTCGTTGGTAAAATACGACATCTCTTAATTGCAAGACAAAAGAGTCTGGTTAAAGGTTGTGAGAATTTTAGATCGATGCATCGATACTGCTTATGGAAGTATAACTTTATGCTGTTATCTAAATAATTGTATTGTAAGTCCAATGAAACCGGATTTCTAAAGTATTGGTCATTATTCATCTTGTAAAACGTCTCAAGATTGTAAATTTCTGAATTAAATAAAGTAACAATATTACTTACGTAAGAAGGTATCCGGATTTCGAATAAGATTTGAAAAATTGTATGCGTCATTTTCAAAATCCTGAATTACGAAATCGGTATGTGGAATGATTTCTATGACCTTGAACTGTTGTTCAGTAGAAAATCCACCAACAAAATCTTGTGAATTAGTTGTTGTTTCACCACTTTTCAACAGTATGTTTTTTAATGGGTCAAATGTGAATCCAGCAGATTTAAATGCTGCATATAACCTACAAACAGATAATGATTATATCACATCTTTCACAAATGATGCAATAACCAATACAAAATTTAGAGTTTATATACCAATGAGTTCAGGATATCTGTGTTATTTAAGCTATTATCATTGCATTATCATCTAGATTTGTCAAATCAACAAGTATAATATTAAATATAAGCCTTATGTTTAAAAAGCAGCATCCAACATGCTCTTCCAATAAGATGATGTGCAAAATTTTACAACTTACTTTAAAATACAAAAGCCAGTAGTAGCAACATATTGTTCGTGTATGAATACACCAGCACAAACAGGTGTCGTGTTTTCTTGTGTTGGATCCTCGGTTATTTTAGTTGCCGTGTCGCCTGTGGTACTCTTGCCCCGAATAGACACCATCCAAGGCCAGCTCTGTATTTCTTTAACTGTACCACCCAGTAATCTAAACATAAGATCATTTTCTGGTCGGACCCCACATTGTTCTGTTACAGGTAATACTGTTGTAGATGGAATTGTTGTTGGTTCTTCAGTTGTTGTTGGTGGTTCGGTTGATGGTGGCTCGGTAGTAGGTTCTGGTGTTGTAGTATCTAATCAGAAAAATGCATGCATATGAAAATTCAGGTTATTAAAAAGATCATAGGGTCAGCCGTAAAACAACTAAAAAACACTATCGCTGTTTGCCAAATATTTCGTCTTAAATAAGTTTAGAATTTGAAGCAAAATCTTTAAACTCAAGAAGTACTATTGAAATATTCAGTATTCTTTGTTAAAATGAAATGTAAACAATATCTGATAACAGAGGATTAACACTGCTGCGCAATGCGCGGTTGCAAATTTGATGTTCTCAAGATAATTGTCATCGTTAACCCCCTTAACTGTTAATCCTTATAAAAAATATGCAATCCTTACCAGGAGCTATGCAGCAAACGGTTGGATCGGGACATACGTATGATCCGTAATTTTCAATTTCACCATCACAATCTGCACTTAGTTTACATAATCCTTTTGGATTTATCAAGCTGCATACTGAAAATAAAATATACATATCTGAAATGTATTTGTTGATATTGTTACATGTTAAGTTCCTGGGAAACAAGAAAATTATATTATTATATATGTACTGAACCACAAAAGAAAATTTCACATAACAGCACCCCTTCCTTTTCAAACTCTTGCTCTGCCACAGAAATAAAATATTGACTGTTCTGTCGTTGCAGAGGGTCGAGACCTATTGCAGGCGTTATTGTCGAACCTGTCGGAGCACAGCTAGGCAGATTGAACGTAACTCCCTCTGCCTAAATGAGTATATAATCCCTTTGGTTTGTTCAGCTGATTTGTTGGAAGTCATTCAGCCATCCCAATGTCATTGTACCTTGATATGGGAATAAATCCATATAATCTAGATATCTTGCGTGAAAGAAATGGTATTTAACAGTGCCACGTTTCTTATGCCATTTAGTTTATTATGGATAAAAAAAAAATATACCTACATTCTAAACATTGAATCTCTGATAAAACGCATACCGCCAGCAATTTAACTATCAACTTCATGATAATTATATTATGAACTTATCGTGTATTTCTTGCACATCAGATACTGTGCTTGGACTAATTTTCAAGACCTTTTATAGGTACCAATAAAGAAAACTGAATTGAAAGTGACAAAGGATCTATACAGAAATGACCTTCCAATGGGAAAATAGTAACACCTGAATGATAAATAAGACTTGAGTACTTTAATTGTAACCTTTTTAGTAGTATATGTCTTAGCAGCACCCTTCAAAATTCAATATTTCAATTGTTTCCGTTCAATACCATCGGATAGGACCCAAGATGAAATACCTTTCTTTCAAGATATTTCCCATTATTA